AAGGGGGCAGGGTTGGGAAGGGGATCGACGTAGGGCCGTCTCTCCCGCGCAGCATGCCGGGTAGAGAGCGCCGCCGTCGTCGCACGCCTAGTAGCCAAATAGAGTCCGGCCTCACCCTACGCAAGCGCACTGTGAACGCAGGCGTGCTCGCCGTCAGAGACGGAGGAGTCGCGGCCCCGCCCCTAGGCCCGCCCCCCAGACTCGCTGGGGACTCCCGGCGGCCGGGACCGGACTGAGGGCCGCCGGCTCCGACTTTCGGGAGCGGTTCGGTCTCCCGCGTCCCGGTGATGTTTCCCTCGCTCAGTCAGCCGCCAGGCGTCGGTCTCCACCCCGAGGTCTCAGCGACGCGCCTGCCTTGGAGCTGAGTTTTAACCTTGGCCGGTGGCTGTGGCCGGCCGCAGCCAATCCCGGATTCCTGACGTTTCTCGTGCATTCCTCGCGTGTTTCGGGCAGTCCCAGAGGGCCGGGCCTCTCTCTACGCCCGTCACTCCCTCGTGCTTTCTCTGGGCCTTAGCACCAGTCAGTCCCCGGGGCTGTGGGGACCTTCTCTCTCGGCGAGCAGCCCCGGTCCTTCCGGACGTGGTGAATGAAGCCCCGTCCGCGGCTCGGGCCCCCGCTTTGGTCCCGGTTCCGGGCTCCCGGTCCCCGTCGCAGCTTGTTCCCCTTCGCTTCCCGTCTTTCTCATTTCGGGGTGGGTTGTGTTTCGGGACTTGGGGAGGAGAGCAGGAGCGACTGTTTTCTTTTTCTTTTTTCCTTGAGAGATGGGGAGGTAAGGAGACAGTTTAGATCTGTAGATGGTGGGTAGAGGGAGGAAGATAACTTTGAAGGAGACTGGTTGGACCTACAATTAGATGTTTTAGAAGTGAGCGAGCTTACAAGTATTTCATACCAGAACCTTCTGATGGAAATAAAAAATAAATGCATCGTGAATACAACTTAGAATCCTAGATGAACGGGTAAAGATGCTTTCTTGGCTCATTAAATGGTGTTTGAACGAGTATAATATACACGTAAAGAACAAGGTAAACCTTTAAGTACCATAGTGTGTGTTTCTTATGTGTTTACGTTGCCAGGAAACATCTTTAATGAACTGTAAGTTTCTGAAAGTTAATACAGCTAATAACCATTTGGTTGAAAAGTACGACAAAAATAATATTTAACAATATAATAAGGAAGTGAGGTTTAGTAATTACAGTTATGGAGGAAAATTGCATGTAAAATTGATTGCATTTTTAAACTTTTTTCTTCTCTACTGCAAATAAAATTTTCACTATGGAATATATGCGACCACTCAGGGTGTAATTTCTTTTTCTTTCTTTTTTTCCTTTTGAATATTTATAACAGTTTATTTGAACTAAGTTGACAACACGTCCTGGAGAGCAAAAGCTCAAATGCTCCCACACAGGGTGTAATTTCAGAGAGATAAAGTAATACATCTTATTCTATCATATCCCCTCTATTGTTATTATAGTTTAATAGAAAGCAGACTGGAATTGTTACATATGCTCCCATATTTTATTTATATGTGAAATGAGGTCTTAGGTTGCAGTATTATTAAGGATTATATCTCCATTTTATAACAACTAACATTCAACCTGCTTATGAGGCACCCACCCCACCCCCATTTCCTTTTTGAGGGACCTCCAGCGCATAAAAATTCAGAAATCCCATGCTGCCTCAAGACCTATATACAACAAGAAACATTTGTGAGACAGTGTGATTTACCTCCATGATGTTGGCATCAAAAGAAGCAGAACTTGTGCGCTTGTATTTCCCACTGGTACCTCAAGCAAAGACTAGGTTTATAACCGTTTTTTTCCTCCCCGTTCACCTTCAGAAAACCAAAAACTCAGCTCTTCTTCTATTATCTATCTTACTAAGTAGCGCTACGTCCAGACCTGAGGCCTGGCAGTCATTCTAGTACCTTTCTTTCACTCAGCCCCCACATCCAGTCTCTTTCACAGTAACATCTTTCATACCTATTCCATTATTTTCACGTGTTAGTTTAAACCTTCCCACCTCTATTCGTCCTTTCCCCAACTGCCACTACCACTGATGCCTGAGTGATCTTCAAAAGGCAGATCCGATCCTGTCATTCCCTATTTAAAATCATTTAGTGATCACCAGATTTAGAATAGAGCCCAAGTTTTAGCATAGCATATAAACGTCCTTCAAATTCTAGAGGCTGCTATCACCTAATCTAACATCATAGCATCATGGCACCCTATCCTTCTCTCCAGCCAAACTGCACTGATTCTTCAAATGCATAAATATGTTTCATTTCAGGAATTTAACACATGCTGTGTCCCAGTACCTTTCCTTACCTTCTTCACAACTCAGCTTGAGTATTACTTCCTCCAAAAAGCTTTCCAAATCTCTGAATTATTTAGAGACCCCATCCGAATATCATCTCATGCGTTTCTCCTATTACTACAATATTTAAAATTGTCTGTACTGGTCAGTGACACTTATACTAGCACCTGCACATAACAGATCTTTGCAAATCTTTGCTTCACTCATTTACTTTTTAAATTTTTCTTGGCTGGCTACTGTTTTTCAGATACTCTGCTAGTCCCTGATGATCCACTGTGAACTAAGCAGACATAATCTCTTCCCTCATGTACTTTCCATTCTAGTTTTAGGCAAATTACTTAGCACCAACCACCCTGCCTTCCTAAGTATCTGTCCAGATCTGTCTTAAAACTGTCTCTTTTAAAATTTCTACTGTGCTCCCTATTTAAATAATTTCTATTGACCATGTCTACATTCACTTTAATTACATTTATTTTATTTTATTTTTTCTATCACTATTTATCCCCTCTGTGCCCTCTTCCACCTCCACCCACCCCACTCCCTAGCAATCACCACACTGTTGTCCATGTCTGTGAGTTCTTTCTCTCTTTTTTTTCATTTTTGCTCCATCCCCACCATTTAATTATGTCTTTAATAATGTCAATGCAAGCCTTGGCCATGTTTTTCCCAGATCATAGTCATTTATCTGCAGGATTAGCTCCTAAAAGGGCAGGACCCATTCCCCTCTTCTTCAAAGGTGTACCTCCAGTATCTGGGACAGTGAGATCCCAATAAATGTTTGATGAATAACTTAAATTTAAACTAAACTAATAAGAACATTCTCCCCCCCCCCAATCATTTTTTATTAGTTTTTGCTACCACTATACCAGTAATCTCTTACAGTTTAATGACCAGAACTGCTCCAAGTGTTAAAGGACACCAAAATGTTCTCCTCTGTTGACAGAATATTTTTTACACTGTTGACATTGCTTTGGGTCCATGACTCCCGACTGCACTCTCCTAGAATGCTGTCTTCTGTAGGTAATGAGCTTTCCCAGGCATATCACCTACAACTCACCTAACTGGAACTCCCTCCCTACACTGTGGCTGAGTCATTTCCTCTCTTCAGTCTCATTCTGGAAACTTCCTATTTGTTCTGTCCTTTCTTCAGTCTGTTCATCCCTGCACAACTCCCATTGATTCTCTCTGTTTCAGTATACTACTGATGACCTTTACAAATGCCTATTTATATCTTTAAACAGTTTAGAATTTTAGGATTTTTTTTTTTCTTTTCCGTTTGCTAATCTTAGAAACGTGTGCTTATTCTGGTTGCTCAAAAAGGTACTTGTTATGTATCCTGTACATATATTATGTCACGAAAAATATGTTAAGGAAGTCTAGGCTTTTAAATAAGTTCAGAGTAGTTAACACTCAGATGCCTTCTTCCCAATTATTATAAAGTCTGATGTACAAAGAGTTTTGACTCTGGCTTTGAGAACTATATGCTGCCCTATAATTACTTACCTGAATATGCAGCTGTGTACCTGACATCCTTCTAGCAAAGAGCTCAAACTGGTTCACAATCTAGTCATCTTTTTGCATCATCTGAAAAGTGGTGACAAGTATTCTTACTTCCATGGGAAGGAGAGAAGGCTGAGATAAGAGTTCTGTGTCACTTCCACAGTCCCTTAGTAAAGTAAGAAGTGGTTCCCACTCTTATATCAGTGATTATGNGTGTCACTTCCACAGTCCCTTAGTAAAATAAGAAGTGGTTCCCACTCTCATATCAGTGATTATATGTATTTGAAAACAAGTCTCCCTTCACTATTCTGCCTCCTGCTGTTCTATCAGTGGGCTCAATATTGCTGTCTCTGGTTCCCAAATCAGATGCACTTTTTGTCTGATTTATTTTGTCTTTTTAAAAATTTATGTTTAGTTGTTAACATACAATATTAGTTTCAGGTATACAACATAGTGATTTTTACACCTTACACAGGGGTTACCACATCATTTGTACTTTTAACATCCTTTCTAGGTAGTTTTGAGGTGATTCAGTCACTTGGGGAAATTATGTAGTGTTTACGTTTATAAATGTAGAGAACAAATGAATACTAGAGCAGAGGAAGATCTTTGAGAAGAGCTGGCATGTGTTCAAAAACCAAAGAAGCAAACTGTATAATGCAGATGGAACAGAAAAGGAGGAGTCAGCTTTGACCCGCATGGTT